CCATCTCATGTTTTGGAGTGGTGTTGATCAACCTGTACAAGTACAGTCTGTATGAATCCATGTAATCAGTTCTGTAGCATTCTGCTTAGAAGGCCAAGGGAAGTCGTAGGCCCAGCTCACTTCCACTGCGTTTCCTCAAGCCATTGTGCCAAGGAAGGCAGAATTGGGTCTTGGCTGCTTTGTTGAGGTGCAGAAGCACATTCAAGTCTGCACCAGCTTTGCTGATACCTGGAAGACCTGCAGCAGTTTGTACTCTTGTGAGCTGCGTATCCTTGGTCATGCCTGTGGCCAAGGTTGGAATAGCTCCAGGAAGAAGTTTGTGGAGAAGAACTAGAGAAGCCAAACTCTCCAGCATTCCCCTTGTAAATGAATCTTGAAACAGCACTGCTCCACCATCTGCCAAATTCCTGAGAAGAGATTCAATATCTTCCCTGAGGGGTACAAATTCAGTATACATAGCTGAGCCACCCGTGACTGTGAAATTAATTCTTTTGTAAGGATCTATGTGGATCCTGGCTCGTGCAAAGCAAGTAGAACAGCCATTCCTGTCCCCATCCTGCTCCCTCCTACCAATTGCGCCAGTGTGTGTATGCAATTCAAGCACCAACATACAAAAAATAAGTCCTGTATTTTAATAACTTGTTTCTGTATTAAGGGCTTTTTGCCAGAAATATGTGGGATGTTATCCTGGGTTCTGTGAAATGGATTTTAAGCAGCTGTTTATATAAAACATGAGTGATGAATTAACTCGTTTCAGTGCACGTTCATCGTACTGCATATCTTAACAGCTTGTTCCAAGAGTGGACCAATACTGCTGTGGGCACTGGAGCAGCAGGGGAGTTTTACATAGTAGAAATATAGGTGCTTATACTGTTGTTTTCATTACAGTGTGAACTCTAGATTATCTCTTCGATGATCAGAATTTCCTTAAACATGGAAAAAAAAACATCTAGATGCAAGCACCTAACATGACAGCCTTTATTTCTTGATGGGATAGGACTGCTGGATGTCAGCGGAAAAAACAATGTGATTGTTTTAGAAAATCTGGTTATTCTTACAGACTGAACAAACAGAATTAGACTCCTGAAATGTTATGCACTTCTGCTTCTGTAGAACTGGACTTTTTGGGCTGGGGAGATCCCTGCTTGACAGTGCTGAATGCTCTTAAATCAGATTGCTGTTCTAACAAGGATCTATTCTCACCAGTGACAGTGGAATTTATCATTAACAACAGTATGACAAGAAAAAACCTGGATATTCAGTTTGGGGACTCTTTTTGTAACTTCTTGTGGATTGTAATCTATCTCCTGTGTGGCCTTCAAAGGTGACATTATTTCAAGTCTCCAGCAGGCAGAATGTACTGTAAGTGGTAAGGAAGAAAATACCACTACTGATCATTCTTGTAAAAACATCTTTCTGAATGTTTAGTCCATTTCTGGTCTAAAAGACAGTTCCTTTTGCTGCACGAGTAAATCAGTCTCGTTTTATGCTCATCTTAATTTGTTGAGACTAATAGCACTGATTCTCTTTGTTACCCTGGTATTTTTACTTGTGTCTGCTAGGTTGTCCTAGATCCTTCTGTAAGCAATAGTGTCATTTACATAAAGGCAGAGCACGACTGAAATGCTATTTTTGACAAAGTATTGAAGAAAGAGCAGCTCCCTGCTTCACTTACTTGAAATCCTGCTTGGAGAATAAGGGAACTGGTAGGTTAGGATAAGTATTGCTCTAAAAAAATATTTTTTAAATTAGGTTGTTACCCATTGTGTCGCCTGGCAGTAAGAAATGTGAGTATCCCATCTGGTTATATGACAGATCCCCTGCCAAAGTAATGGGCTGCAGCTGTAAGTTCTCTGGGAAAGATCACTTCCATAGCTGCCCCAGACATACCTTCTTCCATATACTGCAATCTGAGATTGAAATACGTGAGAAACTATTTGGTATTTAATTGATATATGGTCTCAGGATTCCTGAGATGACTAAGGAGCTTAAGCTTCTATTCTTCGTGCTGAAGAAGGCTCTTGAAAGCTTGCTATTTCATTAATAACATCAGCTTTCACTTGTACTTCTGCACCATGATGATAAAAACATTGATGTGAACTCTCGTTTGAATATTTCTGTGTTTGAATGTGAAAGCTGCTGCATCTTACCTCCAGAATATTTTTTTTATTGCTAGCTATTAGCCTAAAGTCTTTCAAAGAAAAATGCGTGGTAACAGATTGACTGGCCAGCAGTAGTCTATTCCAACTGTGCAACAGCATATTCTACAATGCTGGTGTCCCATGGGAGCTGCAACAATATTCCTATTGTGTTCTGCTCAAATATGTCTCCCCATTCCCAGGCTCTTTGCTGGAGGGCTGAGCAGGAGAGGTCGTGCAGCTGTGAAAGGAACAGCAGCCAAATTTCATTCTGTGCTTGAGCTGATTCAACTGCTGCTGCCTTCCCAGTACTCAGCCTCTGGCTCCGAGGCCTGTTTGTTCAAGTGGTAATTCCTGGATACCTTGAAAGCCCTTTATTGTGTGGATGGAAACGTATTAGACCAAGTGATGTTTCGGAACAGCTGAAAGCTGATCAGCAGCATAAGCCTTTATTGGCCCTACCAATTCTCCACAAAGCCACAGCAAAGTATGAAGCTGCTTTTCAGAAATCTCCAGTATAACCCACTACAAGAAGAGCCTTTATCTTAACTCATTGAAAACAAACAAAACCCACCAAACTTTTTCTCTGATTCCTCACGTCTCTGGAGCTTGAAGAGAAGGTCAGTACTTTCCTTGACCTGCTGAGATCACTTGCCCTGCTCGGTAGCTTTTTCTGCCAGGTGAGACCTTTCTCCATTTTTGTTAACCTTTGAGTCTCTTTAGCTGCCCCGCAGCTGTAATCCTTCAGCTGCTCACCAAAGTGAATAGTTTGGGGAGGATAAAAACAAAGGAACCTTTGGTAGTATCCTTTTCTTATAAGCACCCTGAAGAATCTGTTGCTGTCAATGCATACAAGGTTCTCACTGTTACTTCCTGCTGGTGGACCTCACTGAGTGCCGTACAGAAATTACTAAAACTAGGGCATAATGCAAAATAAAGACTAAATATCCAGAGGTTTCCTTTTCTGTGGAAGAAAGGATCCATTCTGTGTGCACACTGAGTGCAGGTTTGCTGCCAAGCAGGTGGGCACAGCAGTTGGCTGAACAGTCCCTTCTCCATGCTGGGTCTTAACCTGCTTGGCAGCTTTGGTCAAGCTGTCACCCTTTCTGGAGGAACAGAAGTACCTTCCAGAGTACAATTAATCCTCTTTTTTTTTTTTCTTGGAACCAATCAATCCTAGCCATAAAAAAGAAATTTGACATCAAAGTCCAGATCTTAATGCTACTTAAGCCTCTGACTCAGCGCAGTACATGCTTTTAACTGCTATTGCAATCAGAATAGCAGGTAGTAGCACTTCCTAAACTTCACACTTCTGATTTGTATTGATTTTTTAAATTCAGATTACAAAGAATAAAACAGCTGTAGTTTTTCTAGAGTAGAACATCATACCAAAATCAAATCAAGAAAAAGGTTCTAGCTCCCTGCTGACATCTGGAAGTGCAATAGGTACAGAAAAACTGCCAGAATCACAAGGACCATGTTTAGAAAACTGAGTTGCTCTGCTATATTACTATTCCAGGGAGAAAGCAGAAGGGTACACAAAATGAGCAAGGGATGCTTGCAAAACATTTGGGTTGAGTAGTAACAAGTCCCATGGAGAACTTGCTGTGTTCTTCTCTGGAATTCAGCTGTGCTGGGAATTGTCACTCTGTACAAACACCTGAACTCCATTTTTAAGTAATGAAATAGCATTTTGCTTCCAGCATAACTCTTAGCTTGTATGCATTACAATGCAGTTTGTTGTGCTGTATGATTACTGCTTGGCTCAAAACCTTATTGCATGCTTCAAAATAAACTGCAGAGAGAGCTAAGCTTGTGTGAGTTTTGACTGCATGTGAAGTCTGTGAAGAGAAGCTTGTTACAATAGGCTTAATTTCAGGTAGGTTCTGCAGAGTGTGAACTTAGTAAGGCAATCTGTTTACAATTGAGCTTCCACTATGGCACTAGACAGATTCTTTCTGGAAGGGGAGCAGGGCTAAAAACATCAAATAGACTTGCTACTAAGCAAGTAGAACCAGCTAAGACAAAAGAAAAACCTTCTGTAGTATCACCTTTTCTAGATTTCAGTCTAACTAATGGCCCTTACATCTGTTAGAAGTCATTTAGGTAACATCAGCCCAGGAGAAGTATGTTTATTCTAGTATTAAAAGTCAGCTAACAACGTCGATGATGACAGGTTTCAGCCAGCAGATGGCAAAGCCTCTGACTTGGTGAGGTACAGGATTGCAAGTGCAATTTCAGGCTGATTTGGCCCATGTAAACAAAGCTGTGCGTGCAGTCTGCAATCAAGTGAGCACATGTGCACAGCTGTGTTTATCTGACACTTTGCAAATCAGGCTTCTCTTTCTAAATAGCATGCTGACAAGAGCAAGGTCATGGAAATCTTCCTATTAGCACTGAAGTTGGTATTCTATAAATACTTTAAGAGTTTGAAAATTTGGGATTCTAACTTCTCACAAAGGACAGCCTTTTAACATTTCAACTTCGCTCACATGTACCCAACTGCAGGGCCATAAGGAAGATAGCTAGAAAAACCCTTGGATAATAGACTGACTTTGAGTAAATAAAAAAAATTAATACCTGCCCCAGACTTTCGAAGTAAAATGTTAACAAAATATATGGGCTTGGTTGTGGCATCTCCAATCTGTTGCACAGGGCTACTATTTCCCACTGGAGTTCAGTGAAATGGTAAGAGTACAGTCTGTGCTGAAGGTAAACTTGAAACATGGTGGCTGTTGCTCATGGCAGTAGGGAGCGTGTCAGCGTGTCCTGTAGGTCTGTTGTGAAGTTAATTTTTAATTGAATTTTCTCAATCTGTTTTGGAAAGACAGACCGTGGGCTTTCAGAAGTTAGTAAGTAAGATGAAGGCACTTACCCCAGCTGACGGCATGTCACCAATACAGCTATGAGATAGATGACAGGTATAAGGATTGCTGATAGCCTGAAAGGTATTTTAGAAAGCTTATTCAGGACACTGCTTTGAAGGGAGGAACATCATCTTCTCATATCTGAGAGCTGCATTTGGACACAGCTGGGGGTGTTTCAATCAAACTGCAGGCAGCTGGAAGTCTGGGCTGGTAGTGAGCAAGTCAGGTAAACTTCATCTGCTACAGTATCCACTTTTTTGATCAATCTTCAATAAATTTTTTTTCCTGAATGAGAAAAGTCAGATGGACTGGCATTCATCAACCAAGCCAAGCATGTATTCTGTCTCTATAAGATCCTAGTAGATTACTGCTTAAAATCCAAGAGATTAAACAGCGTACAAGTCAAGATACTTTAGTACTATAATCTGCTTCCCTGAGTATTGCAGAAGTGTGTATCCAGAGGATGGCACTGCCTGTGTAGCAGCACTGAGTTGTGCTGCTTCCTTTGCATGGCTGCTGGAGCTGCTGGAGCATAGTGAGTGTAAGTGTGTGTACTTGCCTCTGCTTGGCATAGCTTCTGGGAATGCAGGGAGTGATCTGCTAAGTAGAAAAGATGGGGAATAGCTGCAGGCTGTTTTTTGTTTGTTTGTTTGTTTTTTTATCCCTGGTTGTTGTGCCAAGGTTTGGTGCACCTGACTGTGAAGCTTTCTCCATAACTCTTAAAATGAGGTAGGTGAATAATCAGAAAGCTTTAGAAAACTTGTGTGAATTTCATGCAAAATGGTGCTGTTAGAAGCTTTTCCAGAAGTACTGTGAAATCATAGTGCTGAAGATATTTGTAAAGCAGCTAGGAAAATACCACGTACATACATGAACTCCTGGTTTTGGAGAAGTTGGCTAAGGAGCCACTTGGACAGAATGAGGACTAGGAAAGCTTCTGAGGGGCTTCCCTGATCAGAGCAAAAATAAGTCACTAGGAGCCCTTATGTGGAACAAAAAGGAAACAAAAAAGAATTGTATGGCTCTTAAATTCTTTCCTCTCTGTTACACATTGCTGATGTGGTATCTTATCTGTACTATGAAGTGTTCTATTTTAGCTGGGTTTCTATTTGCCTAGAAGTATTGAAAGATAAGCTTTATGTGCAGATTCCAATATAATGACCAGATGCTTGCATCTGTATCTCCCGGGTGGCTGTGAAATAAGATATTTTTTTCTTCTTTTCTAAGTGAAGAACTATACCAAGTATTGCTATGCAATGGAGTAACTACATTGGCTGTCTACCTGTGCTTGAGAAAAGGGAAAAGAATAACATTCGTTTCATATTTCAGCTTACTGTTGTGCTACGAGATGACTTTTCCAGTCTCTTCCTTTCTCAAAGTATCTTCTTTCTGAAATAGAATTAAAGGAAGCAGATCTAAGAAAGACCTTTTAACTTATGTTTAGTCAAAACTGTAAATCTCCAACTCTTTAGAAGCTGGGTGATTTGTGCAGTCTGAACATCCTGAACATATCTGTGGTCAGATCATTTGAGAAATCTGTGCTCTTGTGCTGAGTATACCTGTGCAGAAATTCATTGTCTACCTCCTGTTTCACCCAGCCAGAAGAACTCAGCGTAGCTTTGGCACAGAGCTGGGTCCCTCCCAGGTAGTTCTGGACTATGGGGACACACTTTTAACAAAAATATAACCTTTAAAGGCTGTAACTCCACAAAGAAAGCTTATCCTTCGAGGCCCTATGCATTGAGGGTAGCAACTCCATGCAGGCTCCCAATGACCGTTCAGTGTAAAGGGTTCACCAGTAATTTGGGGTAAGTCAGAAAGCTTAAGAACAAACTGAAAATGTGACAATATGTGAGTGGTGCATACCTCACATGAAAGATAACTTCTCTCAGGAAGCTTCTGGAGATCTTGTTTGCCTTTGCATCTACTACAGCTGATGTCAGCTGGATGCTGAGGTAGTGCAACTTGCTTCTCTTTAGTAGGATGGGCTTGGGTTATAAGAGTCAATTACTTAAATTTAATTTTCTTTCCTGTAACTTAGTTCTGCTGAACTTATTCACAAAAATATTCCTGATGCCCATGTGGAGGAGCATTTTAGATCATGGTGGATCACACAATTTCTCAAATCTTTTGGTTGGCTGCAGTGTGGCACCTCTTGCTGGTAAGCTGTGTCTCTTCCCAGTTCTCCATACGAAGGTGTCTAGCCCTGCAGATCACAGGCTACAAGCAATTGAATGGTGTTTCAAAACCTGTCATGTGCTGAGGTTCAGCACGTGAAACTCAATTGTGTTGCATTTTAAAATGGCAGGCCTTTTGGTAAATACAGGGAAGGTTTATACCCTGTTAGAATGGATTCAACAGAGTTCAGCTGGCCCTGCAGTGCCAGAGCGATGCCACGTAGGGAAGCAAAATTCCTGACCCTTGACTGCAGTCTGTGCAGAAGGTGAGAATTTACATTTATGTGAAAGGGAAGATTGTTTTTGGTCTCTGACACAATAAGGGTCTAAGACCCTCTTGGGAAAACAGTTAAGGACAGGGCATTAAAGAAGCATGATATCAGCTTGGTCCTGAATGGCTCAACTTGGTTGTAAAAATAACTCTGGCTGAGTGGATTAAGACAACCAGTCATGGTGGAGGAGAGGGAAAAAAGCAGCTAGAAAACTTCAGCTGTACTCTTTCAAGTCCCAGTAAAACTTCCAAGAAAGAGCTCTGCACTGCAAAGCCTTGAGCAAATAAATTCTAAGTGCCTCTTACATAATTGAGGAATGCTTACTCTGTCACCTGGAAACTTAGGATGCTGTAGTCGGTATCTTATATACTTTGCAGGTGTGCAATAGACCTGTCAGTAAAGAATTAGCTCTAATTAAAATTACATGAGATCTTAATGCTTGAGCTGCAGTGTTTATTACTGTGGGTTTGGTTTAATACACAAGTAATTTTTTGGCACAGTCTGGGCAGAAGGTTAATGACAGACAGCATGTAGGCAATGAGAACCCTGGGCCTTATTACAGCTGACTGCAGTTCTGGGAGCAGGAGAGCTGCCTTTGTGTAGGCCATCCTATTTGTGGCTGATATTTCTTCTCTTGTGGCTGTTATTTCTTCTCAAACTTCTGTAAGATTGGGAAAACTGTGCTGTCCTTGTCTTGAATGTGAATTCTTGCAGTTTTAATAACTCTTTAATGAATCTGCCATCGCTTTGCCTGATGCTATATTGTCAAGCGTGTGAGAAATGCCAAAGTGAACTTTGAAGGTACATACTTCACAGGAAAGAAGGATTAATGTCGTCCACAAAGACCTCTCTAACGTATACTCTAAAAACACAGTGAATATCACAGGTTACCATTACTCAATATCAGAGAGAGATTCCAAGCTTTCTTTTTTTGCACAGGTCGCTTTGTTATATCTGATTAGCAGTACTGAATTTCAGTAAATCGACGTATTTTGCAGAATGTGCAGATCAAATACAGCCTTTAACACCAGTAATCAGAAAAAAATAAATGGTTTTTAAAATACCATTTTCCTTTCATAGCCACAGCTGCAATATAAATGTATCTTGTAGCAATCCAGTGTGTGCTGCACGTGATGACTGATTTTTATTTTTTTTTGATCCAGTTTTTCTAATTTGGAGGTTAATTGCTCATACTTGTATCTTCTCACTCGTTCTCTTGCTTCCTAATACTAGGCTTTGTTTAATAATAAAGTAATGATAAAGATTACTGTTTAATGATAAAGCAACCTGTAAATTTGAGCAGAAAGCACAAAAATATACCCGATGTTTTAATGAGAACTTCATTTTCTGATGTTTCCTTAGGCCACAAACCAAGCCTGCTTCCTGTCTTTTCGATGGGGGCTGCCAATGGGAACTGGGTGAATGTTTCCTAATGCAGTGCTGAAGCCTGAGAAAGCAAGAATGCTACATCTGATATTGATATACGTTTTAGAGCGGGTCCAGAGGAGGGCCTCTCGGGTGATCAAAGGAATGGAACACCTCCCTGCAAGGACAGGCTGAGAGCTGGGGCTGTGCGGCATGGAGGAGAGCTGAGGGCAGCCTGTCAGTATCTAATGGAAGGCTGGGGACAGACTCTCTAGCAGGGCCTGTTGAAATAGGACAAGAGGAAATGGTTTCAAACTGAAAGAGAGGAGATTCAGATTGGATATAAGGGAGTTTTTACAATGGGGATGGTTGTGCTGGCAGTTTGGAGGTGAGGGAAGCCCTGTTCTTGGAGACAGTCAAGGTCAGGCTGGATGGAGTTCTGAGCACCAGATGGACCTGTGGTGCTCCTGTTCACTGCAGGGGAGTTGAGCTAGATGACCATCAAGCATCCCTTCCAACTCAAAAAAATGATATAACGTACAATTATATCATATATATATTTATTCTTGTGCAAACAAAGGCAGATCAATCTAGTGTGCAGAATGCAGCAAGTGAGTAATACAGTTTAAGTGCCCAGCGTGGATTAAAGTATGCTGAGGGTTACTGACGTAAAAGGCTACCAAAAAAATCCCCAACTTTCTTCCCAAAACTTAATTTAAAAAAAAAATATATATTACTCTGATGTGAGTTAAAAATGAAATCTCCATGAAAATCAGGGAAGTGGGGGGGAGGGAGAGTATTCCAAACTGAGACTCACATGGCACTCAGATGTCTGGTGGCAATAATATTTACTGGCTAATCCTTTATTCACATATTTTAAAAAATGATGAAGAGTGGCTTGTTGCAATATGGAACTCTGTGTAGACTGTAAAAGTTACTGAAATGAGAATACTGATAAGAAAACCTATCGAGAAACCATTAAACTTTATTCCACCTTGGTAACACAGCCTCTCTTGAAATAAAACATTCTTTGGAAAGTTCTGATGGAAAATAATTAAAAGGAAGCACCTGGGCAATGGGATGTGAGTATTTTATTTTTCCCTAAGGCCTCAGATAGCTTGGGTAAGCAGGAACAGGGGAACAAAGTCAAGGTCTCTTGCATTACTGGATCTACATAACTGTATATATTCAACTCGGGGTTAATGCTAAGTAGTCTCCTATGAAAATAGTGATAATGTGCATGTAAGTATGCTCTTGGCATGGAATTGTAGACTTTTGCACAATATAGAATCCAGATCACCAAAAATTAATCCAGCCTTGTAAGTATTCACCTGAATTTGCAGAAAACCATTATTTGGATGTTTACAAAAGTGATTGTTGAAATTTCCAATGCAGGAAAAGTCCTCATAACATTTTTCTTAAGCAATATCCTGAAGTGGATGGAATATTTGAGATCTTTTTTTTCCTGTATGAATGGAATAACCTCTATGGCTTTCATGATTATGTTCCTCGAATCACCACGGTTGGAATCACCTCCAACACCATCCAGTCCAACCATTCATCTACCACCAGTATTTCCCCACTAAGCCATGTCTCTTAGTGCCACATCTCATGTTTCTCAAACACCTCCAGGGGTAGTGACACAACCACCTCCTTGGGCAGCCTGTGCCAGTGCCTGACTGCTCCTTTAGAGAAGAAATGTTTCCTAATATTCAACCTGA